CCACTGATAGTATGAGTTGTTTTTGGAGAAAATAAGACCTTTCAATATCTAATTCCTAAGTGCTTTCTAGATCTTTCATCTCTTTTTATTTTCTTATATCCCTTCATATCTTCATAGCTGCTTTTTGTTACAATTGTAGTGTAGTGTCAACTTTTTGTTGTTGGTACTTAAATTTGTTTTTTAAAAAATGAACACACTAATTGGACATAGTAATGTGATTTAATATGACATGCATATAGTGAATTCACATGTGTGTCTTGACCATATCTCTCCACTCTTTTTTTTTTTAATCTGAAATGAACTAATTGTTAGCTGGTTTCTAGCCCATCTGCCTTCTGCTTTCCCTCCTGAAACCACAGAACTCTCACTATTGATTTTTATCTTGCATTACTTAGGACTATATTCATTCATTGCTCAAATATTTATTAGGCATTTCCTTTGTGCCTGGTCCTGTCGGTCTCTCTTGCTTACTCAAACATAAGCTCTAAGGAAGGTAACTTGCTTTCTTTTGATCTCTAGTGTCTTAAATGGCATGCATACCATCAATATTGTTGAACTTAATAGTTTCTTCTGTGGGTTTTGTTTTTTTGTATTGTTTGCTTTGTTTTGTTGGTCATGGGGCTTGAACTCTGGGCTGGGTACTGTCCCTCAACCTTTCAGCTCAAGGCTAGCACTCTACCACTTGAGCCACAGCATCACTTTCGGTTTTCTGGTGGTTTATTGCAGATAAGAGTTTCACAGACTTTCATGCCTGGTAGCTTTGAACCGTGATCCTCAGATTTCATCCTAGCTTAGAAGCTAGGATTATAAGCGTGAAATACCAGCTCCCAGCTTCTTTTGTGTTTTTTAGAAAGGAAAATTATTACATAAGATAGAATCAAGATTATTAAGGAAATACAGTTGGGTAGGCCATCAGTTTTCTTGAGGTATAATTTGTGCATAATAAAGTTCATTTGTTTATGCCCAATAGCTTAATAACTTTAAATAATAGCGTACAGTCATTTAACGGAATACTTCTTTTTTCAGTTGTGAGGCTTGAACTCTGGGCCTGGGTGCTGTCCCTGAGCTCTTTAGCTCAAGGTGAGCACTCTATCACTTGAACCACAGTGCCACTCCACGTTTTCTGGTGATTAGTTGGAAATAGTCTCAGACTTTCCTGCCTGAGCTGGCTTTGAACCACAATCCTCAGTTCTCAGCCTCTTGAGTAGCTAGGATTATAGGCATGAGCCACTGGCACCTGGCTAATTGTTTTTTTCTTTAAAACAAAAATCTTTCTCTATGTACTCGGGCTGGTCTTGAACTTGTGACCTTCCTGCTTTAGCCTCCTGAGTGATGAGATTACAGACATTGTGCCAACCCATGCCTGGCCTAGGTCTTAATATTATGCTCTTACTATATTACAAATAATCTTTTCTCTTTTCCTAGATTCTTTTCTGTATTGTTATTAACTTTTTTTGGGGGGGGGTCTGATTGTGGGGCCTGAACCCTGGGCCTGGGCGCTGTCCCTCAGCTCTTCAGCTCAAGGCTAGCGCTCTATCACTTGGGCCACAGCGCCACTTCCGGCTTTTTTCTTTTTGCTTATGTAGTGCTGAGGAATCAAACCCAGGGCCTCAGGCATGCAAGGCAAGTGCTCTACCTCTGAGCCATCTTCGCAGCCCCTGTATTGCTATTAACTTTGTGGAGCTTTAATAGGAAAAAGAAAGGTAGTTTGGCTTTGTTTGTTTGTTTTGAGACAGGATCTTGCTAAATTGCCCATGCTGGCCTCAAACTCACAGATATCCCTGCCTCTGTGCTGGGATTATAAGTATGTACCAGCACATTTGACCTTTATGCGTTTTTCTTGCTACATAAAACTGTAAGTGTAGAATTTGTAAATCAGATTGATCTAGATCATTGTAGTAAACTCTTTTTACCAATATTTAAGTAAAACAAAAATAATATGCTTTCTTGAAGAGAATGAGGTTTTGAAAAAGATAACATTTGATATACTTTTTTCTTTTTGGTCAGTCATGGGGCTTGAACTCTGGGCCTGGGCGCTATCCCTCAGCTCTTTAGTGCAAGGCTAGCACTCTACACTTGAGCCACAGTGCCACTTCTGGTTTTCAGGTGGTTTATTGGAGATAAGAATCTCACGGACTTTCGTGCCTGGGCTGGCTTGGAATGGTGATCCTCAGATCTCAGCCTCCATCTCAGCCTCCTGAGTAGCTAGGATTATAGGTGTGAGCCACCAGCGCCCAGCTTGATATACATTTTTTGTGTGTATATGTGTGTTAGTACTGGAGTTTTAACTCAGGGACTGGATGCTGTTTCTTAGCTTTTTCACTTAAGGTTGACACTCTACTACATTTTTCAGAAAACAGACAAAATCCTTGATTCACCTAAGGAAACAATTATATGTACAACAATGTACAAAATTTTAACATATATATAAATTTATGGTATATCTTTTAATATAAAATTATGTATGTTATATCTTTTATATATTTATGTATAATATATAGTCTTATAATAGTTTATCTAAAAGTATAAACTTTTAAATAAAGTCTATATAATGTTTTCTTTTTTTCTTTTTCTCTTTTTATTTTGTTTATAAATTTTTATATATAGAAGTTTATATAAAAAGCACATAGCCAGGTGCCAGTGGCTTACGCCTATAATCCTAGCTACTCAGGAGGCTGAGATCTGAGGACTGCAATTCAAAGCCAGCCTGGGAAGGAAGGTCTGTGAGATTCTTATCACTAATTAACTGCCAGACAACTGGAAGTGGCACTGTGGCTCAAGTGGTAGAGCACTAGGCTTTAACTGAAGAGCTCAGGGACAGCACCCAAGCCCATAGTTCAAGCCACCATGACTGACAAAAAAGATAAATTACATATATAAAATTTTGGTATTTATTTCAGCCTTCTCTTCTAAAAAAATCTTTATTTTTACTGGGTGTCAGTGGCTCACACCTGTAATACTAGCTACTCAGGAGGCTGAGAGCTGAGGATCATGGTTCAAAGCCAGCCCAGACAGGAATGTCCATGAGACTCTATCGCCAATAAACCACCAGAAAACCGGAAGTGGTATTGTAAATCAAGTTGTACAGTGCTAGCCTTGGGCAGAGGAGCTGAGGGACAGCACCCAGACCCAGAGTTCAAGCCCCACAACCAACAACAACAACAAAAAACTTTATTTTTATAATCCTGTCTTAAGTTTGTAAACTCTTAAAAGCAACTACTCTGAAGGAATAACTATTTGGTACGTTCTGAGGATATTTTCTTTCTTTCTTTTTTTTTTGGTCCGGTCGTGGGGCCTGAACTCTGGGCCTGGGCGCTGTCCCTCAGCTCTTCAGCTCAAGGCTAGCGCTCTACCATTTGAGCCACAGCACCACTTCCAGCTTTTTTCTTTTTGCTTATGTGGTTCTGAGGAATCGAACCCAGGGCCTCATGCATGCAAGGCAAGCACTCTACCACTGAGCCACCTTCCTAGCCCCTCTGAGGATATTTTCTAGGCATTATAGTTAGCCAGAATATTTTTCTCTGTACAACTAGGCTCAATGATATGTGTAACAATTTACCTAGTATATTGGCCAATTACTCTCAAATTCAGCTTTCATAAGAGTAACTGAAATGAAGCTTGTAAAGGTAGACTACTGGTTCCCACTTCTAGAGATTAATAAATTTTTGTGGGTTTTTTTTAATATGGAACTATTTATGAATTTGCATGTCATCTTTGCACAGGGGCCATGCTAATCTTTTCTGAATTCTTCCAATTTTAGTATATGTGCTGGTGAAGCTAGCACTAATAAAGTTATTATATAGGAAGTTCAGGACTTTGTATTTCTAAATAAGCTCTCAAGTAATGTTTCTATTGCCTTCAGTTTTACTGATAGATTACAGTGGCTATCCAAGTACAGTCTATCATATCTGCACTCCTACCTATTTGGGAAGAGGAGATGAGAAAAGTCACAGTTCAAAGCCAGCCTAGACCAAACGTATTTATGAAATAAAAATCAAAACCCCATTTTAGAAAGCTGGACACAGTGGTATGAACTTGTCATCACAGCTGCTTGGGAGGTGTAAAGAGGAGGATCATGGTCCAGGTTGATCTGGGAAAAAGAAACTAAATCCTATAAACACACACACACACAGCAAAAAACTAAAAGGCTTTGTTTCAAGAGACTAAAAATTTTAAGAAAATAAAATGTGCAAAACCTGGCTTAGGTTTCTAGTATAGGAAAGCTTTCTTTCCCACATGCTATTGTCATGGGTTACAAAAAGTGTGGCTAATCGTTTTCTGTTCAGTGCTTAAAGAAATGTTTTAACTTATAAACTTTCCTTTAATTTGTTTTTGTTTTTTAACCTCTCCTAGTAACTGCAAAGAACTCTTGAAGTGTTTGGGTTTTCAGATACTAAGTAGTCGTAATTTAGCTCAAGTAGTATTTGTTTCCTACATCATTAAATTCTACTTCCTTCCCTGTGTACAAGCATACTAAGATTTGAAATTGACTTTTTTAAAAAGTGATTATTCTGATAACCTTTATTATAGAAACTCTACATTGTTTGCAAAAAATCAGAATTTTTTTGATCGTTAGTTGATAATTTTGTTTGATGATCTTTATTTTGTTGGGTTTTGTTAACTATTTAATGCATTTCCTTTTTTATATAATGGTGGGGGTACTAATCATTTAACAGTATGCCTAGGAAAATGAATGTCATTATAAAATGAAAAGATACTAGCAAGACATGGTGGTGGATGCCTATAGTTGAAGCTACTCAGCAAACTAGGCAGGAGAATTGCTTGGCTTATGAGTTGTAGACCAATCTCAGGAACATAGACATCCCCCATCTCAAACAGGAAAAGAAAAAGATAAAATGTTGAATTAAACAGGGATGATAAACACATCAGTATTAACATGTTGTTAAAAACTAAACTGTTAAATGTATTCTAGAAATATAGTTATAAATCAGTAAGACTTAACTCTATAGTAAAATTATTGAAATCTCTTCTCTTTCCAGCTTTCATAGTAATCGTCCAAGTAAAAGGTTTTGTATATTTAAGAAGCATTCAGAAAATCTCAGGTAACTAATTGATTTTTTTTAATTCTTTCTGTTGCAGAATAATTATTTTTCTCTTACATATAGTTTTAATTGAGATATAATGCCCATGACATACAATTCATGAATTTAACATGTTCAATGAATAGATTTTAGTATATACACAGATTTGTGTATATACCGAAATTAGTAGTACAGTTTCATCTAATTTAATTAGGAAAAGAATACTACTTTTAATTTCATTGAATAAATATCTTTGAACTTCCCTCTCATTCATTATGTGTAGTAAAATTATAAATAATTTACATATTTAAAGATTAAATACAGGGGCTGGGAAGGTGGCTCAGTGGTAGAGCGCTTGCCTTGCATGCATGAGGCCCTGGGTTCAATTCCTCAGTACCACATAAGCAAAAAGAAAAAAGCTGGAAGTGGCGCTGTGGCTCAAGTGGTAAAGCACTAGCCTTGAGCTAAGAGCCGAGGGACAGCACCCAGGCCCAGAGTTCAGGCCCCACGACTGGACCCAAAAACAAAAACAAAATAAAGATTAAATACACAAAATGGTATTTAAACTGATTATAAAGAATTAGAGTGTTTAAAAAAGAAAGAAAAGAAACCTTGTAATTGCTTGTTAGTAGTGAATTACATCATTTTTCTGATACAGTATGGGCTCTGAAATCAAGGTGCTCAGTTTCAAACCTGATTCTGACCTTAGCTCTTTGTCCTTGATTACTCTGTCTTCTATAACTTAACTCTTCAGGTTGTTAGATGAAATAATATGTTAAATTCAGCAAAGCACAGAGTAAAGGTTCAATCATTAATAGCCAATATACAATGCTTAACCTAGGGAATGTTTTGTTTTGTGCCTGGGCTGAGGCTTGAACTTAAGGCCTGAGATCTGTCCCAGAGCTTTTTCCTAAAGGATAGCATTCTACCACTTGAACCACAGCTCCACTTTTAGCTCTTTTTTTTTTTTAGTTTGGTAGTTAATTGGAGATAAAAGAGTCTCATGCTTTTCTTGGCCAGGCTGGCTCTGAACTACAGTCATCAAATCTCAGCCTCCTGAGTAGCCAGGATTACAGGTCTTGAGTCACCAGCACCTGGCCCATAGTGAATGCTTTATAGAAGAAGAGAGTCAGACATAACTGTAGATTGAACTTTAATGCCAAGTGAAAAAATAAAGGAAGACCAGTCAAAAGGAGGTAATTTGGGGAAAAAGTTGTTATTTCAGTTTAGATGTTCCAGTGCTACCTATAGGAGTAGATCCACAACAAGCTATTAGACTAGAGCATCAGCAGAGAAGTTAGTCTGATACATTTAATTTGTCTCCATATACTTGTAAAAAAAAGCATTTCTAACTGTGATAAACTTCAAATGTACCTACTATGTTATTAAGCTGACAGTAACAGCAATCCCATTGTATGATCATTTTTTTCATTATGAATTTGAGAGATTCTAAAACATTTTCTAAAAATGAAGAAGCTATAGCCAAAACAAAAGGAAAGCAAAAACAAAAGGAAAGCAGAACCAACCTAAGTCTCTCTAGTTTGATCTGCAAACATAGCACAATATTGTCTTATTTTCTCCTTTACAAACCAACTTTCACTATTAAAAACCCAAATAGAAGCCCAGCACCGGTCCTCACACCTGTAATCCTAGCTGCTCAGGAGGCTGAGATCTGAGGATCACTATTCAAAGCCAGCCCGGGCAGGAAACTCCATGAGACTCTTATCTCCAAGAAACCACTAGAAAACCGGAAGTGGTGCTGTGGCTCAAGTGGTAGAGCGCTCACCTTGAGCTGAAGAGTGCAAGGACAGCGCCCAAGCCCAGAGTTCAAGCCCCACAACCAACCAAAAAAAAAAAAATACACACACACACACACATAACAATGTAGCCTCCTACATTTTTAAGTCAATAAGCTGGATTATAAATTTTAGGTACAAATGTTTAGAGAGTGCTTGAATTAGGCACTTCAGCCCTTTTCCAATGAACTTTGTCCAGTGGAATAGGCATTAGCCAACTCTATCAGGGAGGCCATGTTAGTGTCTATGAGAATGATTTGTTCATAGAAAAGACTAAAGCTAATTAAGCTGAGTGTTTTAAATTTATCTTTGCTATGCTTCTCCACCCCCCCACCTTTTATTAGCATACATTAGTTGTATAAGAGAGAAAATTCATTGTGACTTGGTATGATACACCTATAAAAAGCATTCTGATCAAACTTCTTTATGATTCTCCCTTACTCTCCTCCCCCATTCTAAAGCAATCCTAACAAGTTTAATTGTTCTGTTATCATACATGCATTTTAACTACTTGGAACATATTAGTGCTTTTTCACTGTCTTTATTCACCTCCCCTGTTTTATTTTCTTCATGCATTTCTTTCAGTGTGTATTAATTGTACCAAAGAGTTTCATGATGGTATTTCAGATTATGTTTTAATCAGAATAACACTATGCTTTTTAAATTTAGATTACAGATACTCCTTTTAGAAATTAAAAGTTCTTAGCAGTTGCTTTTCAAATAGATGTTAAAGTTCATTTAAATGGAACAGACCAAATTTTTTTCAACAGTGTCATTTACAGTTCATATTAAACATTGTAACATCACTTACACTAAAATACTTGGTTTTCCTATAAGCAGCTCTTCACATGCTTTACCCAACCAGTTCCCAACTGCTTTATTCTTACAAATTTAATAAATGTATTGTGGCTTCCTACCTTCTCTGAAACATCTCAAATGTTTTTACAGCTTTAATACCTTAAAATAATTTAACAACAAAAAATGATCACTATTCTGGACACATTTTAAATTAGAACCTTTAGGTCAGAAAGATGTATTTTAATATGCCAGATATTATACTATGCTTCAAATAGCAAGTACTGCAGGGCGCCAGTAACTCACACCTGTAATCCTAGCTACTCAGGAGGCTGAGATCTGAGGATCATGGTTCAAAGACTGCCTGGGCAGGAAAGTCCATGAGACTCTTATCTCCACTTAACCACCAGAAAACCCTGGAAGTGGTGCTATGGCTCAAGTGATAGAGTGCTCGCCTTGAGCTGAAGTGCTGAGGGACAGTTCCCAGGCCCAGAGTTCAAGCCCCATGACCGGGGGAAAAAAAATAGCAAGAACTACTCAGTGTGATCCAGTGAGTGTAAAAACTCTTCTGTACTCAGATTTTTTTTTTTTGATGACCATGAAAATAGTTGCCTAAATTTACTGAAAATGTGTCATGGTTGCATGTTTCATCGGTCTGGAGTTGAAAGAGTAGTTGAGGCCCCAGCAAGTCAACTAGTTTGAACAACAGTATTGAGATGATTGGGAATGTAAGCATTCATACTCCAGTATTTTATTAACTATTTTAGTTAATGCATTGTTAAAATAATACCAACCTTGCATGATTGTGGTGAGAACATTGATGTGCAGTTGATAGCAGCTATCATCTGTTTTTACAGCAGTTACCTTTCTTTTCTAATTTTATCTTTGACCATATAGTAACTAGATAGCTGCACTTGATTTGTTGCTCACCATTATTCGTAGTAGAAAGTTATCTATAAAAACAGCATCAATAAATGTATACTACGTGAATGCATGCTAGGTCAGACTTGGCAGGTGAGGATGTAGCAAAGAATATTTAGAATGTGATTTGTTTCCATTAATAAAGATTGTTAGCAGAGCCAAGACTGGCTTAGATCTCTAGACTTCTAGCTTTCATCAGCTATTATGAGAGATGACTATTTATACAGCATAAATACTTTCTGTAAATAAAATACATGGCTGTGCCATTTTCTAGAAAATTATTTTCATTATACCAAATTTATCTGACAAAAATTAATGGTTATAACATAAACAGAAAATCATAAAAAGTGATCATTGAACATGTATGTGAATTTCATAAAACATAAAACTTTTTATTTTATGCTATTTTTCTTTAATAGGGGCATTACTCTAGTGTGCCTTAATTGTGATTTCCTAACTGATGTTTCTGGCTTAGATAATATGGCTACACACTTAAGTCAACATGAAACTCATACTTGCCAAGTTGTATTGGAGAAAGGTATGTACATCCGACTGTTATTTTGGATTTTTGACATTCCATTATTTTTGGTCAACCACAATATGGGCTCTTTACTAAATCATTTTTCTCACTCATCATAGTTCATATGCTCTTGTCAATGTAAAACTTTTCTTCTAATTTCAGTTTCTGTTTGTATCCCAACTTCTGAACATCTTTCTGAGTAAGTTTAATTTTTATTCAGTGCATTTTACTTTGATAGGTTTTTAGCACTATTGCTTTTTAAGAATGTGTCGTTAATAGGAATGAAAAATATTAAAGTATTTTGTTGTGTTTTTTTTTTAAAGCTGCTTGTTGAAGTAGGTTCCTGCTCTGTGGAGCTCGTGACCTGGTGCAAGACAAGTTGGAATTTCCTATGTTCAAAGTTCTGAGATGTTTTCTTACACAAAGGTGGTTAAGCAGCCAAGTTCATGACATTAGGCCTCATTATTCAGCTCTGTTCAGCTTTCAGATGGGTCTAGATTCTACTCCACCTTATCTTTGTGTCAGGTTGACAGGTCTTAATAAACATTTTTTTCCCCTCTATTTGGCTTTCCTTAAAAAAAACTTTTGTTGCTCTGGTCTTTTCTTATTTTGCTGAAAAGAATTTGTTTGTCTCTACTGCTCTTGCCTCCAGAATAATCCATTCCAAATGATATGGCTGCTCGTCTATTTTCTGTTTTATCTGCTTTCTGCTTTCTTTGTTTCTTATATTTTATGTTCTTAGGCCAGATGGTTGTCTCTTTCCTTTGTTGTCTGTCATTGTGCTATTTTTCTTATTTTTCAGATGCAGAAGCAGCCCAGAGATTTCAAAATATGTCCAGGGTACACCTGGACAGTGTCCCCCTCCGATGAACACAACTGATGACTGTTCTCTCTTTCCAAGGAATGTGAATAATTTGACTATGCGACCTTCTGTAGGTTGTGGCCTCAAGAACTCATATTTTAGGCTGGGCACCAGTGGGTCGTGCCTGTAATCCTAGCTATTGGGAATAGCACAACACCTGGGTAGCCCAGACATAAATCCAAGACCCCGTCTCATTTAGTAGCTGGATGGGTGGTACATGCCTGTCATCCTAGCTATGTAAAGAGCATAAATAGATGGATCCAGGTCCTCCTAGTTATGCATGCCGGACCTTACTTGGAAAAAATGTGAGGGTGGGGGGAGACAAGGGACGTGACTCAAGTGCCTGCCAAGCAAGAGCAAGTGCAAGTCCCTGAGCTCAACCCCTAGTACCTCCCAAAAAGAAAAAAAAGGCGGGGGGGAAGCAAAGCAAAACAAAAACTTAGTATCTTGAGGAGACTTCCTCCTACACTGCTGACCTCCCATCAGGCTGATGTTGATTTGGCCAAGGATGACCTTAAGGATACCAAATTGAGCATACTTCCCGCTGTTGGCTTTGGCTCTTGATATTAAGTGCATGGGCCAGTTATGACCAAGAAAAGCCCATTTCCCAAGTGTTTCAGCATCCAAATTGAAGTTTAGTCATTTTGGCTGTTGGCTTTAATTCTTCATGTACTATGGATACAATCCAAGAAATAACAAAAACTTGTGCTACTTTCATACCTTTAGATCTCAATTATGTCCCAGAATTGTAGGGGTTTTTTTGTTGTTATTTTTTGTTTTGTTGGTCGTGGGGCTTGAACTTTGGGCCTGGGCGCTTTCCCTGCGCTCTTCAGTTCAAAGCGAGCACTCTGCCGCTTGAGCCACAGCACCACTTCTGGTTTTCTAGTGGTTTATTGGAGATAAGAGTCTCACAGAGTTTCCTGCCCGGGCTAGCTTTGAATAGTGATCCTCAGATCTCAGCCTCCTGAGTAGCTAGGATTACAGACATGAGCCACCAGCACCTGGCTTGTAGTCATTTTTTACTGTAATTTAAAGTTTATCGATCAGTATTGACCTCTTTTTGATAATGTCAATTCTCAGATATTTTTATTTTTTTTATTTTAGTAACCCAGGTCTCTAAAATTTTATGCCTCTTTTGTGATGTCTAATTTTTCTATTCTTTTCCTTAAAGCTAGGGCTTTTTTGTTGTTTTGTTTGTTTGTTTACTCTAAGATTTCTTAAGTTGCCTGTTTATAGCTTTTTAATCTGGCTGTTGCTTAAATCATCCTCAGTGCTACTTCAGGTTTATTAGCATTATCTTCATCATTGTAAGTTCTAAAATGTAAAGAATTGGTAAGAGATATCTTGCAGAACTTTAAAAAAGTTTAAAGTAACATTTTATAAGTCTTTAATGTGTTTTTTTGGTAAAGCTAACATATAACCAATAATGCTTATTTCCTTCCTGTAAATTTTTAATCTTTAATTTTTAATTTTGGTATGTTGCATACAGCTCTATTATTTTCTTTTAATAAAAATGTGGTATTAGACAGCACCCAGGCCCAGAGTTCAGCCCTACAACCAAAAAAAAAATGTATTTAAGTTTCTCAGGAATTATTTGCTAATGAATAATTTTATATAAAATCCCTAAGTGTTATCCTATTAAAAGATCATTCTAATAATTTTTTTAATTTTAAAAATTAACAAAGCATCTTTTAAGATGCTCTGAAATTATTGAGCTTTTTTTCACTCCTAAAATCAGAATTACTTTATTTGTATTTTAGAGCAGAGATAAAGCCACTTACATAATAAATTTTTTATAATTAACATTAATTTTTCATTTTAAGCTTCTGAGCCAAGTTATACTACTAATGGAAAAAATTCCAAAATCTCTGAAAATGGCATCTTTCCTAGTAGTAGATTTGGTAACACACTATTTACTTCCTAATCTGTCTCCAGGAAGTTTTTTCATCTTCTCTCTTTCTATCTAATTAACCCCACTCCCCAACAGTTTTTTTTTCTTTACTTACAATTTATTGATATTGTCATACAGGGGAGTTTTATGTGAAAATTCCATATGTACCTCTGTTACATACTCTTAGATCCCTCCTTCCTTTTTATAAAAAACAGGGTTTCTTAGTTATTTCATTGTGCATTTGTGTATGTAATTCACTTTGATTCTCTTAACTCCTGGTACACTCTCCATTTCCCCTCCCCTGCTTTCTCTCTGTCTCTTTCTCTGTCTCTCTCTCAGACAGACACACACAGAGTGTCCCTTTTCATTGAAGTCCTATCTTATTTGATCATTTTAGAATTTGGTTACCACATATGAGAAAAAAGATGTGGCATTTGGCTTTTTAAGTTTGGCTTATTTCACTCAATATGATCTCTAGGTCTCTGCATTTTTACTGCAGACAACATAATTTTGGGGGTGGGATAATGTGTGTGTGTATGTGTGTCACATCTTTATTGTCTCATCAGATTGTAGGACATCTTTGTGAGTAGTGCTGCTGTAAACATGAATGTGCAGGTATCCCTCATGAATGTAGATGTATTCTGCCTCCAGTACATCCCCAATATGTATTTCCTAGATCATAGTGCAAAAATATGATAAACCACTTTCTTGTAAAAGCAACATATGAACTCTGCTTTGTGTTCTTCAGTGGGTCTCTTTTTTTAGAGAGGAAGTATGGATGAAGTTCATTTTCCCTCACTTCCCTCACACTATCTACACACACACACACACACACACACACACACACACACACACACACACCCCTTTGATGCACTGAAACATAATGTCTATACTTGATTGCTTAGTTTGGAGTTTCTGCCCCACTGTTCACTAGATTTGTGTGTCTTTGGGCAGGTTACCAGACATCTATGTCCCAATTCCTGATTTGTAAAATATAGGCAAATAAAGTATCTATTTTAATCTTAAGCTATTAAAAGATTTTTTTTTTACTTTTATTTTTTTTGGGTCCGGTCATAGGGCCTGAACTCTGGGCCTGGGCACTGTCCCTCAGCTCTTCAGCTCAAGGCTAGCACTCTACCACTTGAGCCACAGCGCCACTTCCGGCTTTTTTTTCTTTTTGCTTATGTGGTGCTGAGGAATCGAACCCAGGGCCTCTGGCATGCAAGGCAAGTGCTCTACCACTGAGCCATCTTCCCAGCCCTATTAAGAGATTTTTAAAATAATATATGTATATAACACACCAAAAGTAATTAGTAATACTCCAAAAAATAATGGGCATTGGTGGTTCATTCCTATAATTTTAGCTACTTAGTTTGAGGATCAGGGTTCAAAGCCAGACTGAGAGAAAAGTCTGTGAGACACTTATCTCCAATTTAATTACCAAAAAGCCAAAAGTGGAGCTGTGGCTTAAGTGGTAGAGCACCAGCCTTGAGGGAAAAAGCTAAGGGACTGTGTCTAGGCTTTGAGTTCAAGCCCCCAAGACCAGGATGCGCACCCGTGTGACCCCCCCACACACACAATGTAATTAGCATGTCATAATCACTATGCAAATGTAAAGACATTGTATTATTTGTGATTGTTATCTACTCATATTTGTATTCAGTTGCCTTCATCTTCAGCCTATTTTTCAATCGATCCCTCCCATATCTTTTTCACATATTACTTCTTTTATTTTTCTTTTCCTGTTATTGTTGAAGCATGTTATGCCATTAGATTTTCTAAAGCCTACAGGGCACTAACTTTATACTTTTAGAAAATGTTTATAACTCACGCTAGTCATCACTGTCTTGTATCAGTTTCATCAACGTTTTCCTCGAGTATGCTGTACGCCATAGTTCTTCACACACTTTCAACTCATGATTTTGAAGGTCTTCTGCAGCTCCACTTCTCATTTTAGAAGTTGACCTTGTGGAAATGCTTGCTATCCTTTACTTAGAGAGGCTTCTGTGCATATGCCTTTTGGATCATTTATTGAAATTGGGACCCTACACTGAGAGCCTTTGCTTCTCTATTGCAGACCAAGGTGTAAATCCAAGTTGTTTTTCTCACCAGCTCTTCAGCATTTGGTAAATGATGTAACCTGAAGATAATATGTGGAACTCAGTTAAACTACAGATTTAAAGAAATTAGTTAAATATTTCACTGAACTTTTTTACACTGACCTGGCAGAGAGTAGGCACTAAATAGAGACACATTACTATTCCTGCTGCTCTTACTCTTGCTCTCCTGTTACTGCTAATACTGTTGTCATGACTGTTATTCCTGCTTCTTCCTGATGGCCAGAGACTCTGGGACTATTTATCTATGGAAGCTTCTCATGATTGAGACTTGTAGTAGCAGTCCCTTTACGTTGGCTGTTTGACATTTTGATATACAGTTTGATTTTATAGTACATTCTTCTGAACTTATCTTGGTTAATGACATTACTCTTCTCTTGCCACTGCAAGCAGACATCCGGGGTGGGTCACATTTGCTCTTCCCCATGTTTCTATATCCAATAAATGTATACCCTCTGTTCTAAGTTAGCACTTTGCTACAATTGATAGTGTATTATTTTGGTTGAGACAGCTACCATTTTAACAAGATTCTGAATGGAATTTTTTTTATTATTTTTCTTTCTGTTATACAAACCTGATGCTTTTAGGACAAATTAGCATGGCAATCAAAAGCATCCTGAAATGGCCTTTGCCATGTCTTCAGTTTTATCTTCAACTGCTTTTTTTTTCCTGCCCTACATTTCATTGACATGAGACATTCTCATCTAGTTTTGTGCTTCTGTTCTGTCCTAGAGCCCTTCCCTGCTTTGCTAGTTTCTGATCTTCCTCTAAAACCAACTTCACTGTATGCCTGCTGCTTTCTTGCCTCTCTCCTCATATTGGGGGGTCAGTCATGTAGATGTCTTTTTCCTAACTTCACAGTTCTCGATCCACATTTGCTCAGTGCATCTCTTTGATAACAAAATACTCAAGAGGAGAGACTGTTCTTATCTTTGGACTAGAACACTTAGCTCACTGGTGCAGGTACTGTGTGGTAAAGATCCTGCTTAGACACATATCTCACACACACACATCAATCAGCACTACTCAAAGAAAATGATCAGAATGGTGTGCTGAATGTTTACTATTCTGAATGTCTAAGTAGAAGCTCTTGAGTAGTGGTTGACTTTAGTACTGGCTTGTACAGCATTTCTTGAGCTTTCTTAGAATGCTTACAAGTATTCTTAGGTTAAAGACTGTATTTTTTAAATTACAATTGAAGTTTTTGACCTAGCTGAAATGAACCTGAGCAGCTTTTCCCTCATAGATTCCCCCCCATCTCATCAGATGTTCATACTATGAATGAAATCTCAAAAGAACATACTAATATAATTAAATCACAATATTTATTTTCTGTGTAGCCCTAAATTTTTATGGGTAGCCTTGTGATGTCATGTGACCTGTAGAGAAATTTTAATAAGGCTTTTGAGTCTATTTTGGACTTTAAAGGAAATGAATTAGCCTTTAGAAATATATCAGGCACCTGTTTGTTTCAGTAGGTTTCCTTGGAGAAAAATACTTATTTGCAGTTCTTTTGCAAGACTGTCTGTCAGTGGTTCTGTTGTCTTTGCATTGAAAAGTTCATGTTTGTTCCAAGTCCTACACCACTTTTTTCTATAAAAATTATTGCAAAATTCACAAGTGAAAACTTTAATTATGTAATAACAGATTAGATCAGAACTTTGAGCATAGCAAATTTGACTGTCTTCTCCAAGGCAGTTGAATATCTCCAATAATAACTATTTCATCAGGTAGCTTTATGAATAAAAATTAAGGCTACAAAATTGGTGGGGGACAGTTTTCAAAATAATTTTAATCATGCATTAGTAATTTATTAAATTTTACTAACATTAAAGTACACCTTTGTAATTACAAATTCTTAGTGTTCATTTTAGTGCCAGATTGATAATGATGAGATGTATAATACACATATCTAAACTTTTTTAGCTTTTCCTGAAACTTTTTACTGATACTTATAATTCTATCCTTTAAAGGGAATACTAGTATGGTAAAAGGCACAAAGAAAAATTGGAATCACTAGCCTCTCCATACTAGTTATTTCCAGAACTTACTGTGTTCTCACCTAGTAGTTTTCTTAGTAAAATAAAGCATAATAAAAATAAATGTCACCAACCCCATTGCTGAAAACTTGCCTTTTCCAGTTGAAATTCCAGCAATAATGATGAAACATTCTTCTACTTTTATTGCTGACTAAAATTAATTTATTATGGGGGACATGTGAAAGTAATTGGCATGATAATATTTCTTTTGTAAGAATATAAAGCCTTAAAAGTTGGGCACTGGTGGCTCATGTTTGTAAGCCTAGCTACTCAAGAGGCTGATATCTGAGGATCTCGATTTGAAGGCAGGCTGGGCAGGAAGTCTGAGAGATTTCCAATTAATCACAGAAAAAATGGAAGTGGCTCAAATGGTAGAGCTCTAGCCTTGAGGTAAAGGAGTTCAGGGACAGTGCCCAGGCCCTTAAAGTTCAAGCCCGGGAACTGGCAAAAAAATAAATGCATAAGACCTTTGCTAAAGAAAATGTTTTAAATACTTGAGATGATTACCAAATCTTTAACCCAAAAAGGTTGAAATTTTTTGTGCAAATTTATCTTCATTCAGTATGCTGACATTAACTATAAATTGTAATATGCTAACAGTGGAATGGGTCCACACACAAAAAAAAATCTATGATTTGTTATGTTTCTTTGTGGAACAAACTATAGACAAGTAATTTTGCACAGTTAATTATTTCTATTCTACTAAAGCACTAGCATTTATAATTCTAATATTTTAAAAAATGTGGTACTGGAGATTATACCCAGGTCTTCTTGAATGCTAAATACATGCTCTACTACTGCAGTGCTTCCCTCCTCTCCCCGCCCCCGCCCTCTCCCCCCACCATTTAAAGTCCTCATTTTAAAAAATGAATCCTTAGAGAATGGGTAAGGAAAGATGGTGTTTGTCAGCTTCGTGTGTCCTTCCTTAAAACCACAATAGCTTTTAGGATGGTTGACATTTCTTTCCTTTATTTCCATAAAATAAGGCATGGACTTGGGTTGATGATACTGTTCCTTATTTGTAATTCTTAAGTCTTACTGGATCACTTAATTCTTGATTCACTGTTTCAGATTAAGTAGAACCACCTTATTTTTGCATATTAAAACAGTTTAATATGCACTAACAAATAATAGTCATTAGCAGTTTCTTAAACAAAGAACTTCTAGGAAAGTTTGACTTACATTGATTTTTACAAGATTTCTAGATGCCATAAGTTATAATGAACATTTTTGAGTCAAGATGTTTTTAAAAAATCTGTAGTTATTTTCTGAGCAGTGCTTGAAAATGTATTCTTTAAATTTTGGGGTTGGGTTGTAGATCAAGTGACAGAGTGCCTGCCTAACAAGCACAAGGCCCTGAGTTCAAAAACCCACTAGAATTTTAACATCAAAAAAAACTAAAAACAACTTTTGTTTTTTATGAGTACTTTTTTGGGGGGTTTTACCGGATCCAGAGTGACGTCACATTGGATTTTATACTAGATTTTTAAAAAGATTTTTATGTCCTACAGTAGTAAATACTGATTTGTACAATATGATAACTTGCTTTTGTTAATGAGTAATTCTTTTTTGAAATTGTTTACTAATACATTATTTCTTTTATCTTAATTTGCATTTAGCAAAAGGAGCATTTCTGAGTTCTTTTTAGAAAAGGAAATATGTCTTTCTTTTTCTTTCTCTCTGCAGTGCTGGGAATCAAATTCAGGGCTTCACACATGCTAGGCAAGTGCTCTTTCACTGAGCTACATCCCAGCTTGAAGTACATGTCTTCATTCACTAATTTAGCACACTTATTAAATGGTTTAGCCCCATGTATTGTATTTTTACCTTAAAATATGTACAGATATCACTTAGTGTGACATTGTAAAGTTTACAGGGGCTTAGATTTAAATTTAGTTATTTTAAGCATGCAAAAACTTCAATTCATATTTACAATTATAATATAAAATAATCACTATTTTGTTTTCAAGATTAAAACATGAAGCTCCTACTAAGGAACAAGAACCTATATCTAAGGTAAAGTGATTTTTATCTCATAATTTAAAAAGTTATACATTTGAAAGTATTGGAGTTTTTTTCTTTGTCGGCCATGGGGCTTGAACTCTGGGCCTGGGCGCTGTACCTCAGCTTTTCAGCTTAAGGTGAGCACTCTACCACTTGAGCCACGGCACCACTTCCAGTTTTCTGGTGGTTAATTGGCAATAAGAGTCTCACGGATTTTCCTGCCACCGGCACCCAGCAGGCAATCACCTTTTAGAGCTATGAAAAATACAAGGTTAATTTCATATTTTCCCTTGTTGTTGTTGTTTTGTTAGTCATGGGCCTTAAACTCTGGGCCTGAGCGCTGTCCCTCAGCTCTTCAGCTCAAGGCAAGCGCTCTACCACTTGAGCTACAGTGCCACTTCTGGTTTTCTGGTGGTTTATTGGCGATACACAGACTTTCCTGTCCAAGCTGGCTTTGAACCCTGATCCTCAGATCTCAGTCTCCTGAGTAGCTAGGATTACAGGTGTGAGCCACCAGCGTCCAGCCTTTACATAGTTTTTTATTTCTGTAATATCTCTTTTACTTTTTTTGGTATATTTTATATTGCAGACCTGCTGGTAATTAATTCTTTTAGGCTTAAAAGTCTTTTTCATGTTTGGAAGATAATTTTGGGTGGGTATAGAATTCAGAGTTGACAGTTTTTGTTGGTTTTTAAAAGAATTTAGTTATCTCTTGGCTTGCATATTTTCTAACAAGATATCTTAACTGATTTTTTTTGTTTCTCTGTGTGTGTCATTTTTCCTTGGCTGTCCTCCAAATTTTATCTTCACCAACATTTTGGGCTTTACATATCTCAATCTGTATTACTCTTTTGCTTATTTGTGTTTATCTGTTTGTATCTTCTGTTATTTCGCCACTTTGGATTATTTACAAAGAATCTCTATAAAGTTTTTAGTTTTCTTTAATTCTATTTTTGCTTCTGAGTTTGTAATTTTTCAGACTTTTAAAAATTACTATTTTAGGGCTGGGAAAGTGGCTCAGTGGTAGAGCGCTTGCCTTGCATGCCTGAGGCCCTGGGTTCGATTCCTCAGCACCACATAAGCAAAAAGAAAAAAGCCAGAAGTGGCACTGTGGCTCAAGTGGTAGAGCACTAGCCTTGAGCTGAAGAGCTGAGGGACAGTGCCCAGGCCCAGAGTTCAGGCCCCACAACCGGACCCAAAAAATAAAAAATAAATAAAAATTACTATTTTAAAAAATCAAATCAGCTAAAAATTTATGCAAAAATGTCTCTCAGAAAAGAGTAATTAATTATCCTCACTTTTAAAAAAGATGTGAAAATGACCTAAATATTTGTTAACTGGACCCTTTGTATTGTATATAAGTTAATCTGATTTTGGGGATGGAAAGGAGAATCACAGAAATGGTGAGACAAAGGAGAAAGGGTAAGCCAATGCAACAGTGATGCTCAAAAGATACTATGTTGGAGCCGGGCGCCGGTGGCTCACGCCTATAATCCTAGCTACTCAGGAGGCTGAGATCTGAGGATTGGGATTCAAAGCCAACCCGGGCAGGAAAGACCCTGAGACTCCTATCTCTAATAAACCACTAGAAAACCGGAAGTGGCGCTGTAGCTAAAGTGGTAGAGTGCTCGCCTTGAGCTGAAGAGCTGAGGGACAGCGCTCAGGCCCAGAGTTCAAGCGCCATGACCGACAAAAAAAAAAGATACTATGTTGGAAATAAACTTTACAACTTGTATGGCATTGAGGGGAGGCAGGGGAGCAGGAGACAGTGAGGGAGAGGGTAAGACATGTACACATTACTTATCTAACTGTAACCCCTCTGTACATCACCTTTACAATAAAAAGTACATATGTATTAACTGGGATGATAAAATACACAGAAAACTATTTTCCTGTGCAATTTTAAAGTATTGCTTCTTATATCCAGTATTATTTTTTATAAGTCTTGATATCATTCTTGCTCCATTTTTTGTTTACATTGCTTTGTTCTTTTTAGAAACCTTAATGATTATATCTGATGTTTTGAAATTTCACTCTATGTTTGACCTTTATCTCTCTTTTTTCATTCATTATATTATGCTGTGAAGATACTTTGTGTGTTATCTCTTTGATCTTTTTTTTTTACTTTTTTTAGTTCTCTCTGATTCTTTTTTTCTGACATTGGATCAGCTACTTCATTATATAGTTGCTTTTATTGCTTCCTTAATTTAGTTACCATATTTGTAATTTTGAAGAGCTCTTTAATATTTTATTTTTTATTTTTATTTTTTATGTGGTGCTGAGGAATCGAGCCCAGGGCCTCATGCATGCAAGGCAAGTGCTCTACCACTGAGCCATCTTCCCAGCCCTTTAATATTTTATTCTTCAATTGTTGTACTTTCTTAAGTTTTGTTAATTATTTACTGGGCACAGTAGCATACCTCTTGGCATATTAAGTATGAAACTATTCTCTTTTGCCTCTTAGGTGTTCCATTTCCTTTATTCTTGTTTGGTTTAGTTTTGTACTTTCCATGTTAAAGAATGTCTTTAGTTGTGTGATGATGATTTCCCAAGTTCATTTAAAGTTCATTGAAAGCCGTGTGTTGTTTGGATGAGTAGATTAGCTTTCATACAAACAGGTTATACATGGCCGAACTCCAGAGGGCACTATTTACGTACAGCCTTTTGAACTCCTTTTTTTTTTGGTGAAAATACCGTATAGAGAGGTTACAATTATATGAGCAAGGTAATGAGTACATTTCTTATCAAGCATTGTTGCCTCCTCCCTTGTTTTCCCTTACCATCCTTTCTTTTTGTACTCTTGAAAGTAATAGGTAGTTGCAGTGTCAGAAATTGAAATTATGTAACGTTGAAGTACTTAATAATAAGCCCATTATTTGTTGACATAAATGATGTATTTTTTGAAAAACTAGTTGCAAAAGAGAATTTTGATGAAAACAATGGTATTGTTTTATATTTGTGCATATCTCTTTAATGTCTAGCTTCTTAGAAGAAAACTGAATTCTCTACCACACCTCCAGCTCTGGCTTTTTGCTGATTAACTAGAGATGAGTGTCTTGAATTTGTTTACCTGGGCTGCCTAGTTTTCTACAGAAGTAATTATAGAATCCAAATTTGGGAGTTAAGGAAAATAGATTTTAGCTGCCACTTGACTTTGTTTCATAAACTTTTGTGAGGCTTAAACTCTGGGGCTGAACACTGTCCCTCAGCCTTTTAGCTCAAGGCTAGCACTCTACCACTTGGCCACAATGCCATTCTGGTTTTCTGAGTGGTTTATTGCAGATAAGAGTCTCACGGCCTTTCCTGACCAGGCTGGCTTTGAACTGTGATCCTCAGATCTCAGCTTGGATTACAGGTGTGAGCCACCGGCACCATGCACAAACTTTTGTTATATTGAAATTCTTAGGAGAATTACTCTAATAACTTTACAATAAAAGGTTGCTTTTCTATTTCTTTGGCATATTAGGTTGTATAATTATTTCTTTCATTCAGAACATTGATTATAATAGTTTTAACCATGAATGTAAAATTATTATTAATCATTTCAGGAAATTGCAAGGCATACTGTGGCTGAAAGAAAAACAGAAACATCAAGTTCTGAAAGGTAAGGAATGGAAAGGCTGAGTCTGTTCAAATTCAAGAATTCAAAATAATACTTGGTTACATTATTTACACTCAGCTCCAGAAGCTAACATACATAGTATTGCCTTTGGTAATGACTTTTAATTAAAATGAAAGTTTGACATTTTAATTCAATAAAAACATTTTCCAGATTCTTGTTTTTTAACATGCATTGCAAATTTTTTAAGTCACATACTTTTTTTAAAGTACTTATTAGTAAGTAAAATGTTAACATTAACTGTTTAAAAGTACTTACTAGTAAGTCAGACATTAACATTAACTGTCTATACAGGCTAAGTACATTTGAATAATTGTGAAGTACTCAACTGTACATCCTGAGCAGTGGCAGTTCTTCCTCAACAGCAGGGAATTCCACATATCAGGGAATTCCAAGCTTCCATTGTGTACATGTTAATATAGAGCAAAAGAGAAAGTAGATTTTGCCTAATGTATTTTATAGCGTAAGCACTCTTACAAATATAAAAAACACTTAAATTTTAACTAAAAATAGGTGGAAAGTAATGACAGCAAGTTGATAGATCCCGCAGATCTCCTTTTTTTGTTGTTGTTTCCTGTTGGTCATGGGGCTTGAACTCTGGGTCTGGGCGCTGTCCCTGAGCTCTTCAGCTCAAGGTGAGAGCTCTACCACTTGAGCCACAGCACCACTTCCGGTTTTCTGGTGGTTAAGTGGAGATAAAGAGTCTCAAGGACTTAACTGTCCATACTGGCTTTGAACCATGATCCTCAGATCTCAGCCTCCTGAGTAGCTAGGATTACAGGCATGAGCCACCAGCACCTGGCTCTGCAGATCTCCTTTTAATATGTGACTCCAGAGTTTCTCACAGTCTTGCCAAAAAAACAGGCTCCTCCCAGATTGTATTATCATACTAAGAACTATAGATCTGAATTTGTTTTCATTTTATTTTGGTGGGCAAATATGCATGTCTTTATTTTGAATAGTGTTCAAGCACCATGTTTTATAATAAATGGTTTTATTTTTCAGCAAGCAAGATGAAGATTCTTCATCAGAAGAAAAAAATGAATGTGATACAGATTTATCCGAAGGTTTATCACCAACAAAAAAAGAAGAAAATGTAACAGATAGAGAAAATGATGCCTGTCCTGCATACCAGGAAAGTAGTTCAAAGAAAGTCTTGAGTCATGATTCAGACACTGGTGCAGATAAAATGGAAAAGGAAAAACAAATGCATCACAATTTTCAGGAGAAGGAACAGGAGATGGGCCAAAGTTCAGAAAACATAATTTCATGTGATCAGATTAAAGATCATAACTCCAGTGGAGCTAGATTTTTCTCAAAGAATATTAAGAATTTGCGGTTGACATCAGATGATTTTTTGAGGAAAAGAGATGAACCTGAATCTGTTAGTTCTGATGTTAGTGAGCAAAGCAGTGTTCATTTGGAACCTTTGACTCCATCAGAGGTGCTGGAGTATGAGGCCACAGAGATTTTTCAGAAAGGTAGTGGTGATCCTTCGGCCAAGACTGATGACACTGTGTCTGACCATGCAGACAATACTTCCAGAGAAGTCAGTCCTAGCACACCAGACAAAACAGTAGTCCTAGCAGATAAAAAAGAAAGAAGCTGAAATTACTTAGTCATTCTTAATTTTAGTGTACCAACATCAAAGGGCATTTGGCACACTGACCGGTGAGCTCAGTAGTGATGTGGTAGAATTCAGAAGCACAAAGATGTGAGGGAGTTCATTCACACACTTCACCAGTGTGTTCAGTTTGCTAGTAAACAAGTCAACTCTCCAAGAATAGCATGATTCGTGTGGGTTTCACGCTCTTTAAAAACCAACAATTTTAATGAAAGCTAATTTGCCAGAAGGTCTCATTTAGCACTTTTTGAAGAAATGGAATAGAGTTGCCGAAATGAGTTGATTTTAAGAATAGTAATTATATTAATAACACTTTTATATTAGTCAAACTTGCCTCAGACCTAAGCTTAAAATCTTTATTACCTATATATCTTCAGTTAACTTAAAGGAAAAGGTTGGAAAACTACACGTCCTTTGAGAATGAGGGATTTAAAATAATGGCTGATGGCATTATTAATGACAGCTTTATTTTGCATCTGAAGTTGGTCAGTGGAGCATACTTACAGTGCTAAATTGACCTAATAGGAATTTGGATGAACTTAATTTTGAATTTAACACAACATTCCAATCTGTCAGAAGCATGTAAACAGACTATTTGAATCTGTGTACCTCCATACAAGTGTTAGCCATACAGGCTGTAAGCTTACCTTTAAACTTTCAGTGAAAGTGTAATTATTAAAATATAAATTTATATTTGTGCATTTAGTGTGTAAGCTACGCTGAAAACCCTTAATGTACTAGTTGTATAAAATAGAAATCCATTGTTGAAACTCCTGTAACACTATGCTTTTAATATAGTTTTAATGATCTTCTTTAGATATAGACCCATAAAAATGGTCTGGAAGCCAAACCAAAGTGTGGTAGAATGTAGATATTGTGAAGCACTTAACTGAAAACATGTTGTGGCATGGATTCAGCTATGCTTAAGTGGCTTTTTTCTAATTGTAAAATAGAAATTTCAACTGGGACCTAAAGCAGTAAACAATTTGAAAATTTAGCCTAATTTATCCCTAAGTTGGCTAGTAAGTTGCTATCTCTTTTTTTAATCATCTAGAAACTATTAAATATTGAAATGAAGAATAATAGTTTGCTTTGGAGTACTAATAAAGTTTTATTTAAAAATGCTACCTTTTTATGCTACCTTTTTACTTTTCAAAATGTGCTTTGAATTCTTAAATGTTTCAGTGAATGTTAAATGTTTTAAATAGCTATTAAAATTCTGCTGTAAATAGTAGTTTTTGAGTATATGTTTGCAATAAAAATCTGTCCCTGACTAACTTTATTTTCCAGATCACTGATTGATTCAGATTGCCTTTGGTGTTGTTAGAAATAATATACTTCATCAAAGAAATTTCTTTTTTTAGTGGGATTTTATTGTTTGCTTTCAGTGATTTAGGTGTTTTTTTTTTAAAAATTAGAATATAAAACACAAGGGATAATGTGAATATGTACAGGGAATAATTACTTTGTAAATTCTTTTGGTTTAAAAACAATACAATTTAATCTACTTAATCTGCTTAAAAATGCTAAATAGACAAAACACAGTTGTATTATTTTCTTGAATATTTTCACCATTCCTGTTTCCAAGAAAATATATGACTCATTGTCATCTTTCATTGTTGAAAAGTAAATGAATAGCAGGAAAATTTTGGAATAATATATACAGGGAGTAGAAAAAAATCTGTATGTGGACTTTGAGTTTTATCCAGTTTGTTTCCAAGCTCTATGCTACAGAACTCTACAGTATTGTGCCAGAATAAACATGTACATGACACCAAAATCCCTTTTGGGATTTTGAGATTTTCCCCTGCACCCATATGCCTTTTGGGTAGTGATATTCAAAGAAGCTATTGCTTGCCATGCTAATTTGTCCTAAAAGCATCAGATTTGTATATCAGAAAGAAAAATAATAGAAAGGCTCCATTCGGAATCTTGTTAAGACAATGACTGTCTCAACCAAAATAGTACAGTTTCAATAGAGAAAATGAGATTCTAGCAAAAGGCTAGAACAGAAATTATATATTTATTGGACATAGAACAGAAGTTATATATTTATTGGATATAGAAACATGAGTAGTGATATTCAAGGAAACTGGTTATTGAACTGTTTGTACCTATCCACTATGAGAAAAGGAAATTACATCAGACTAAATCTTTCATTCTGGCAATAAGAAAAAGAGAAAGTTGAAATAAGCATTGTTCTTGGTAATAGTTGGTGCACTCTCCCACATTCTCCTACCTTCTCTCCAGTCTTAACATTTTAGATACGCAACCCAAATCTCAGTAGCAACCAATAGTGATTGGCAACTTTAAAGAGCCAGAGAGTAAATAATTGTGGGCCTAGGGGCTGGGAAGGTGGCTCAGTGGTAGAGCGCTTGCCTTGCATGCAGGAGGCTCTGGGTTCGATTCCTCAGCACCACATAAGCAAAAAGAAAAAAGCCGAAAGTGGTGCTATGGCTCAAGTTGTAGTGCACTAGTCTTGAGCTGAAGAGCTGAGGGACAGCGCCTAGACCCAGAGTTCAGGCCCCACAACCGGACCCCCACAAAAAAATAAATAATTGTGGGCCTTGTGGTTACAGTTACTAAACTGAATTGTAACTTAAAAAGAGCAAATCATGATGAGCCTGTTTTTGTTTCAATAAAATTTTCACTTACAAAACAGGATATTGGGTAGGATTGAATGGCAGACTAAAGTTTGCCTACATTTAGATAAGCCCCACGACCGACAAAAAAAAAAAAAAAAAGGAAAGGATAGGAATCAACTTTGTTTTGGTTGTAAGTAAAAAATACGGAAAATTCAATACTCTAGCAGGTAGTTTGCCTGAGATTATAGAGCAGAAATTAGAACCCTGACTGATCTGAATCCAAAGTTATTTTCTTACCATAACTCCCATTCCTAGCAATTCAGTATTCCCTTTTAAAATTAAGTCTTCTTTTGCAAATTGCTCTCCCACTACTAACCGTAGTTTTATTTATTATTCTATAGTGACTACATGCATATGAAATCAAAGACTTCTTAACCTAAAGAAAGATCTTAGTGATCTTTTATGTTAATAGGAATTGAGGACTGTTATCTCAAAAGGTTAGTGAATCTTTTTATATTTAGAAAGAGAGCCTATGATTTAAAATTACCCTTTAATGGTTGTTGGGAATTGAACATTATTACATTTTTAGGCTTTTGTTAGGTCATTGTCTTCACAGTTCACCTGATTATTTTTGTTCTATCAACATTGTTAATCCCAAGCCCACTCACTTACTTGACTTTAAGAAAATAGGATTTTTTTTGTGCATATAGCCACAAAAAATACAATGTTTAGCCGGGTGCTGGTGGCTCACACCTGTAATCCCAGCTATTCTGGAGTATTAGACCTGAGAATCGCGGTTTGAAGCCAGCACTGGCAGGAAAGTGCATGAGACTTTTACCTCCAATTAACCACCAGAAAACCAGAAGTGACACTGTGGCTCAAACTGGCAGAGAGCTAGCCTAAAGCAAAAAAGCTCAGGGACAGCACAAGCCCCATGACTGACAAAAAAAATAGTATTACGAATGTTTCATTTTTACTAAATTATTATATCACTAACTCATTTTAACTCAGCTAAGAAATGAAATAATTTACCTATTCCCAAGCTTTAAAAAGAAAACAGTATTTTTTAAATATACCTGTGTCTATATATATAGATACATATATCTATATATATATAGATATCTATATGTCTATATCTATATATATGTAGATATATATATAGATATAGACACACATATATATTTGTAGATAATATAGTTAACATGAATGGTTGGATAGGTTTCTGAAAGTTAACATAGTATTTAACTTTCAACCTAAAACTTCAAATCAAAAGATATCTCTCTCACTGATAATTTTTGTGTCCTTAAAGACACAGCAAAAGCCACATGATCAGGGGATAAGGTCTCCTGTATGGAATTACATTTATAATTAATAGATAATTTCTCATTGTTTGTTAAAAGTACTTTTTAAATCGTTTTCATTCTTTGAAAGAATATGCTAAACATAAACTGATTTTTATTAATGACACAATATGTCATTATTCCAAACTTTATTGGACAAAGCTATAAATGAGCCAGAGCTACAGATATTAATGGGTTATATAATTGCTGATCACACAAATTCCTTTGGATTTTACGTTCTGGAAAAAAAATATCCAGATATGTCTGGAGTTATTTGAGTTTTCCAAAAACAGAACAGAAAAATTTATCTAATTAGTTACCCACTTTACTTTAGAAAATAGGGACTATGAAGTATAGTTTTAAACTTTTAAAATCTCTTAAACTTTTATTGATGCCTAAAAGTTTTATTTTTGTTTCAGTCATGAGGCTTAAACTCAGGATCTGGGTGCTGTCCCTGAGCTCTTTTTGCTCAAGGCTACATCCTACCACTTTGAGCCAGAGCTCCACTCTGCTCTGGTTTTCTGGTGGTTATTTGGAGATAAGAGTCTTATGGACTTTTCTGCCTGGGATGGCTTTGACCAGAGATCCTCAGATCTTAGCCTCCTGAGTAGCTAGAATTATAGGCATAAGTCACCAGCACCCAGCCTAAAAATATTTTAATTGCTACATTTTAGAGGCTAGCAAACTATGACTGACCACAGGTGGTCATCTATTTTTATAAGCAAAATTTTATCAGTACAGGATATTACTTGTTTACATGTTGTCTGTGGTATTTTGTTTATACATTGTTGTGTATTTGTCTATGCATAGTACAGTTGTATGTGACTGAGATGATATGGCCCACAAGCCTAAAATATTTATCATCTGGCCCTATGAAGAGAAGTTAACCAATCTGTGCTATATATTTTTATAGGTATATCATACTTTTATGGCTACTTTTTATTTTTTACTATCATAAAAACATAATGAAAATATTAGTTAATAAATTTTTATTATTTGTCTGAGAATTCTACATGTTAACGTAATGAAATCTTTACAGAAATTAGCAAAACAGTGCATTTATAAGATAAAACTATGGAAAACTGCTTATCCCAGCATAAACTCTTAAGAATTGATGATTTATTTATCTATAATTTTTTCAACTCTTAAAGAGCCAATTTCCTTTTTCTTTCTTTTTTCTGTCAGTCATGGGTCTTGAACTCTAGGCCTGGGCACTGTCCCTCCAGCTCTTCAACTCAAGGCAAGCACTCTACCACTTGAGCCACAGTGCACCACTTTGTGTTTTCTGATGGTTAATTGCAGATAAGAGTTTCACAGACTTTCCTGCCCTGGCTGGCTTTAAAACATGATCCTTGGATCTCAGCCTCCTGAATAATTAGGATTACAGGCATGAGCCACCAGCACCTAGCCCATTTATTTATTTTTTTAAATCATGTTATTCACTAAATGGTTCTGTTGTGTGACCACGTAGTAAGTTCCTGGCTAGTGAGTTGTAGGTCACAGATTTCTGGTAGAAAGCATTTACTTGTTGATGTGAGTCTTCAAAACTTTCCCTTCTACATGTGACTAGTCCCATTTAAAATGATGACTGCTGAGAATGATGTTGAAGGGGTGACATTGATCAAGAGGCACTGTATTCATAAACTGCTCTGTTAAATGACAACTTCTCTGCACAAATACTTAAAAGATAATTTAAAAAAATATTCCTAAAAAATGATGGCTGCTCCATCAGACTGAGTACTGCACTATGAACAGAGCCTCTGTTTTTTCAAAGTTTTTGCTTAAAACCTATTGTGGTTAGGGAGTTTTGTTTTTGCAGCTTAATCTTGACAAATACAGGCATTAATCTTGAAAGTGGAGTATTGCTATTAAAAAACAAAAGGCCAAATCTGAGTTAAACTATTACATTAGCTTAGATGATAGATATGGAGCCCACATTCTTTTGTAGTGAAAAATTCATAAACTATTGCCTGTAACACTGGGAACACTTGGAAGACAATGTGCCTAATCAATCTGTATCTCTGCTGAGAGACTTTAGATAACTGAATGTTAATAGCATGGTTTGATTACTATATTACCTGCATTACACAAGATATTTTTAAGAGAGAAATAAATGACTCAATGAGAATTGACCAAGAAAATCTAGAAATTCAGATACTTGCAGGGTTAAAAGAAGAAATAACTTCTCATCTCCAACCATTA